TCTACTAGGACTCCTTCGGTAAATTTGTTCTTAATTTTTGACTCTCCTCTGAAGGGCGGGATGTTTTACAGTCGTCCTTAATGAATATTAAATCTTGAAGTCGAGACAAAAATCAATTACAATTTCTTTTTTCTAAATGCATGTAAGTCATAGACGCAAATCTTTCTTTTGTACTGGGTTTGGGACATTGTAGGGAGGAGGTCAAACTTATTTTGTTACATTGGGGTCGGTACTGGGTTACACCAACAACACTACTGCTGACAGCCAATACGACTGTACAGCCGTGTCCTCCCCCCCCAATGCATTTGTCGTCGTGAATGTAAACCAGAGAAATAGTACTATATTCTCGCGTCACGCAGGTGCATCCCAACGACATCGGAGAGGTGGTCAGGTACTAGGACGTGTAAACCGGCTAGATTTTTTTTGTTTATCCTTGTACAAATAGAGACAAGTAGACTTTTTTCGTTGATATTGTCTGTGTAAGAGTGTATCTTTTACTGTACTTATCGACAAAATGTACGTAAAAAGCAACTCCTAACTTACGTACGAAACATCAAATTCTTAAGAGTGGACGCCTTTTCTACAACTACCGCTAGTCGTCCCGCATGAGCCGGAGCAGGTCGACGTCCAGTAAGTAAGGAAAACTCTTGAGTTTCTACCCTAACTACTTGAGTTTGACTTCAGGACTCCTCCCCTCTACTCCCTCCCTGTTTTTTTTGTGAAATTTCTTCCTTTACAATCCTTTTTGACAAATAAAAAGATGTACTTACCGTATAGTCTATCCCGACTACTTATACCGTTTTTAGTATTAGAGGTAATAAACCCAGTTATTAACATTAACGCTAATAAGTAACTGAAACTTTTGTAGTTAAATAACCTCTTTTTTACAACTTGTCATACAAAAATTGTCAACTAATGGGACTTGAAATTCATATTAAGTTGACTTTTTGTTTTGTTTTTGTTTTCATTATTATTATTATTTTTTTAGTTGCAATCCTCCTCCTTTTTC